TTGCATTATTGGGACAAAATAGCACCGCACTAACTGCCAGTGATGCGCATCTAGCAATTTTGCATTATTGGGACAAAATATCACCGCACTAACTGCCAGTGATGCGCATCTAGCTATTTTGCATTATTGGGACAAAATAGCACCGCACTAACTGCCAGTGATGCGCATCTAGCAATTTTGCATTATTGGGACAAAATGGCACCGCACTAACTGCCAGCGATGCTCATCTAGCTATTTTGCAATATTTGATGTTTCTTTCATTTTCCTCCGCAAGAATGCTCTTCTATTGAGCTTATTTAAATTATCCCACCCACAAAATAACCGCATCCTCCTCATAACTGAAAAATAACATATTTTTTAGGGGTTATTATTTATTTCAGCTTTAAATAAATACAAAAAGAAAAGGTGAGGCATGTGGGAATATCGAAGGTCGTTTCCAGTGGTTTCGGCTCGGTCTTGGTGGCACCCTCGTCGTGCTGCCCCAGCACCGTGTCCGCTTCTGCTTCTTTTCGTCCGGATCCTGCATCCGCTTTCAGCTCCTGGCAGCTTGCTGCAATAAAATTTAAAAAAGAGTGCGATTTATTTTGATAATCTTTGGAAAAAAGCTAATATTAAAAAAAAATGGGGCTTAATTCAGCCAAAAATGCATGAAATTCAATTCGGAAAGCGGTTCTGAGTTCGTTTTTCTCCGCTTAACAAAACTGCTTACTAAGTTTTACTGAAATTTTTACCTGTAATTTTTAAAGAATTTTTTAAACAATAAGATGCAAAAAACTAAATATCAGAGGTTCATAGCTCAGCCAGAACAAAACCACATTTTCAAATGTTCATTATTCATCCAAAAACCCTTGAAATTCAATTTGGAAAGCTGTTTTGAGTTGCTTTTATTACGCTTAACAAAACTGCATACTACGTTTTCAATGTCATTTTTTCTCAATTTTTGAGAATTTTAATGATGGTACCCCTTACATATTTTTGAAAAATTGGATCGATTTATTTTGACATTTTGACTAATTTTCAAATGTTCATAGTTCATCCAAAAACCCATGAAATTCAATTCGGAAAGCGGTTCTGAGTTCGTTTTTCTCCGCTTAACAAAACTGCTTACTAAGTTTTACTGAAATTTTTACCTGTAATTTTTAAAGAATTTTTTAAACAATAGGAAGCAAAAACTTAAATATCAGAGGTTCATAACTCAGCCAGAACAAAACCTCATTTTCAAATGTTCATAATTCATCCAAAAATGCATGAAATTCAATTTGGAAAGCTGTTTTGAGTTGCTTTTATTACGCTTAACAAAACTGCATACTACGTTTTCAATGTCATTTTTTCTCAATTTTTGAGAATTTTACTGATTTTTGCAAAAATGGTGCGATTTATTTTGGGAAAACAACCTCATTTTCAAATGTTCATAACTCAGCCAACAATGCATAAAATTCAATTCGGAAAGCTGTTCAAAGTTCGTTTTTCTAAGCTTAACAAAGCTGCTTACTCAGTTTTACTGAGTTGTAAAAAGAAATGTGAAAATAAGTGAAATATAAAAGAAAATAGAATTCAGGCGTCTCAGCAGAAAAGGTAAGTAAGGAAATAAGGAATATTTCGGGTTTATAAAAAACGAAGCGTGTTTCCTAAATTTCTAAAGTGTGAATTTGTTAATAATTCAAGATTTTTCCTCGTTTTCTTGGAGTTGAAAATGTTTAAATTGATTTTTTATTACTTACTTTTTATATCCAGTCTTTGAAATGAGTAAGCAAATATAACCCTTCTTTTCTGTGCGTTCTTTGAATACCAAAAATTGGGGTTATGTTTGTGTCTTCTTTTGAAAAACTAGTACAATATAATTTTATTTAGTATTTTAATATTATGTTAACTTTAGTTAAAACCACCCAAGAAGGCACTCTTAATCACATTCAACGGCGATTCATCATCTGTCAAAATGATGATGAATTAAATTGGCCAAAAAAGCGACATCAGCCAAGGCAGTTAGTCCATACACAGGTATGTACATGGTGTACACGCCATGTCCAATCCCCCCCCATCCTGGGGCAACCGTCTCCGAGTGACCACAAATTGAAATTGACCCTAGACGCCAGCTGGGGCGAGGGACTGGGACTGGGAGTGGGACTGAGACTGGAAATCGAAATCAGAATCACTAACAGAAACAGAAACAGAAACTGAATCTGATTCTGAATCTGGAATCCACAACCAAATCCGAGGCCGAGTCCGAGTCCGAAGCTGGGACATTTGTATGCAAATTCGGTGATTGCTCTCCGCAGATCCACAGAGAAACCACAGGCAAGACGGTAGGAGCGACCACACAATAAATGGGCATAAATTACACGACCCGAAGGCGGAGCCACCACAGACAGTGGATGTGGATGTGGATGTGGCTGTTGGCTGTTGCGACTCTGGGATATGGCGGCTCCAAAATTGATCATTTCTCCCTGGGATGTGGCTGTGGCGGCGGCTATGGATGATGATGGAGTTGGGAGCTGGCGCCATTGGAGTGCGGCATTGCCACTTGAATTTTTGATTTAACAAATACTCATTTGTAAAACGGGCAAGCGGGGCAGCAGGTTTTCCCTCCTCCAAGTCCCCCTAAAATTCAAATGCACACAAGAAGCATGAGGAGCCGAGGCCCAGTTTGAAGGCAACACAAACTTTTGGCCCAACAATAATAATGTCACGTTTATCGTGTGCAGCTAATTACTAACAAAAAGATAGTTTGTAATCCTACATACACACACACAGGCCACCAGACCGAACTTGGCCACAAGAGTTAGCCAAGCGTGGCCGAAAAGCGCCTCCAGGACGTAAGACAACAGCAGGCCACCACCACCAGCCGCCAGTAGCCTGTATTTTTTTCGTTTCACAAGCAAAACTTTTTGGCCAAGAAAGCAAAGCAAAGCAAAAGTAAAGTAAAGCATGGCTTGGCCAGAGTCGAAACTTGGCCAAAACATGTGCTCTGTGCTCTGGCTCTGCAATCTTGGTCTAAGAGTTTTTGGGCATTAGCACACGCCTGAGTGTCTTAGCCATCAAAACACACTCTTCGAGTTGCTTTTGGCCAACAGATGCTACAGTCTTAACCCTTTGGGGGATTAGACCAAAGCTGATTTTTATATTATAAGATTTGTGAGAAGTTTGTAAGGAAGAAGGAGACATTTCTGATCCTTTAAAGTGTATGTATTCTTGATCTGCATCAACAGCCGAGTTGATCTAGCCAAACTAGTCCCTCAGTTTTGAAGCTTTCTTAATGAAACTTTGCATATAGTCTTTTGGGTACTCTAAATGCTATATAAGTCTGTTCAGGCTGGATCGGACGACTATATCATATAGTTGCCATAGAAACGATAGGGAAATTAATAGAAAAAAATTATAATTTTGATATTTCTCAACGTATTTTAATCATTTTTGAGGTGTGGCCATTTTTTATTATTCTAGAATTTTATATTTAATTTCATATAAATCGGACGACTATATCTTATAGCTGCCATAGGAACAATCAGGAAATTAATAGAGAACAAGAAAGAAAGCTAACTTTGGCCAGCCAAAGTTTGTATACCCTTGCAGGTAACAATTAAAGTATATCATAACTAAGTCAAAAATGCATTAATTTTAAATCGAAAAACTGTTCTGTGTTAGTTTTTATGAGGTTTACAAATCTGCATACTTAGTTAGAAAAAAAAATTTTGGTCAATTTTTGCGAATTTTAATGATGTAACCCCTTATCAAATTTCGCAAAAATGACTCAAAATTTGATTTCCTCCAAACATGGCTTAAACGATTCGTATTTTAATGCTGATCAAGAATATATATGGTTTATGGGGTCGGAAATGACTCCTTCACTTAAAAAAATATTATTTTGTATTATAAAATCTGATTTTTTATATTAAAAAATATGATAACTCTGCCAAAAATGCATTAATTTTAAATCGAAAAACTGTTCTGTGTTAGTTTTTATGAGGTTAACAAATCTGCATACTTAGTTAGAAAAAAAAATTTAGGTCAAAAATTGAGAATTTTAATGATGTAACCCCTTATCAAATTTCGCAAAAATGGCAAAAAAATCGATTTCTTCCGGACATGTCTAGAAAGATTCCCCTGTTGATGCTGATCAAGAATATATATGGTTTATGGGGTCGGAAATGTTTCCTTGACTTAGAAAAATATTATTTTGTATTATAAAATCTGATTTTTTATATTAAAAAACTTCTTGAATTTTTTTAAATTAAAAATATCATAACTCGGCCAAAAGAGCATTAATTTTAAATCGGAAAACTGTTCTGTGCAAGATTTTCTACAGTTAATAAATCTGCATACTTCATTTAAAAAATTTGAAAATTCAATTTTTTATCAAAATCAAAAATTTTAATGATGTAACCCCTTATCAAATTTCGCAAAAATGGCTCAAAATTTGATTTCCTCCAAACATGGCTTAAACGATTCGAATTTTAATGCTGATCAAGAATATATATGGTTTATAGGGTCGGAAACGTCTCCTTCACTGCGTTGCAAACTTCTGACTGAAATTATAATACCCTGCAAGGGTATAAAAATGTAAGCTTCACTATTTTTCAATGTATTTTTAAATAAATATTATATAATATTTATTTATAAATAAACATACAACTTTTATATTATTATTAATTATTTTTTATATTATTTTTTCTATTAATTTTACCTAAATAGATAGATTTTTAATGATCCAAAAACAAACTGCCAGGGTTTACAGCTTCCTTTCTTCTTCACCTTCCGCTCCTCCAAAAAGACTTGTTAATTTTTTAGTTAAACAATAAAAATATATTTTATTCGGTATAAATTTTGTGCCGTTTATCAACAATGTGCCACAAAATACATAAAAAAAAAGAAAATAAAACAAAAAAGACCTGCTTCTTTTCATATCAAAGTCAAGTGATTGAGCAGGCAAACATTTTGGTTATCATCTCTCACTCATTACACAGTCAGAAAATGTTACAGTACATTATTAATATATATATATGTGTGTGTGAAAAAACAGTATCAAAGCCTTTATTATTATTGTTTTTGTTGTATAAAATCACAAATCCCTTGTATAAATTGACGCACAAAAGAAATGCTTTGATACTGCTTTGTTTTTGTTTTTTTTTATAACATTTAATATCCTTTTTTTGGTGTTTTTTTTATGGTTTCTACCATTTTTTGTCTATCTAAACTCTTCGCTCGCTTCCTTAAATATCAAATAATATCGCTTTCCTTTGAGACTCTCGAATTGAACTGGGAGTTACTATCACCTCCTCACAGCGTTCCCGTGGGCGTGCCCGTACCAGTGACCACTCCAGCTCCGCCAAACGACAGGAGATCCGCCTGATCCGGCTTATCCCGCGTGGCATGATACGCCTCACGCTCACGATCCGGAAACTTGGTGGGCAGATTCGGTGAATGCAGATTGACCTTGGCCTCGAAACGTACGCCGGCCACCTCCACCTCATAGTGGCCAGAGAGTACATACTCATTGGTCACCGGCAGCTCACCGCCAGCCTCATCAAAGTTGCGCACAAATCCCAGGCAGACTTGCTTCTCGAAAGTGTAACCATAGCCGGTGGTGGTGGTCATGCCCACATAGACGCCATCACGATAAATGGGCTCACCGCCCCAGCACCACATGTCCACCTCGTGGTCATGGTCGTTCAGCAAAAGCTGGACATACATGCGTTTCACTCCCTCCTCGCGTTGCTTGAGCAAGGCACTGCGGCCTATAAAGTCGATGGGTTTCTGTGGAGGATTTTGAATTGTAATTTACTGGATAATCCTTTCAAGCTTTTCCCAAACTCACATTGAACTTGACACGCCAACTGCGTCCACATTCCAGGGGGGTGGTAAAGGTATCCAAATCCTGGCCCCAAAAGGCATAGAACTTTTCAATGCGCAAGGCACGCGTGGCATAGTAGCCTAAAAAAAGGGATTACAAATTAAGAAAAATAAAGTAAAATCAAGTAAAATCAAGAAAAATCAAATAAAAATCTATTAAATTTTACAAAATCTCCAGCCAAACTCACCTGCATGCTGTATGTTAAACTTCTGGCCCGCCTGATAGAGCCTGGAGTACACATGCAAAGCATATTCGTTGGGTATATAAAGGACATAGCCCAGTTCGCCCGTGTGGGTGATGTTTAGCACACGAATGCCATCCGCCAGGCCCACATCCAGTTCCTGCAATAACCAAAAAAACCGAGTTAAAATTAAGAATTTCCCATAAGGATGCACTACACCCACCTTGTAGGTAAAGAAGGGAAAACTCTTGGGCGTGAGATCCGTGTCGGTGAGCTCGGAGAGCAGAATCCTTGAATAGGGTCCTAGAATGCAAATGGCCGTATACATGGAGGTCACATCCGCCACATTCACCTTGGCCCTCAGATGGTCGGGCATGTGTTTGCGTATCCAGCACATGGAGCGGGTCTGCTGTATGGTCGGAGCAATCATCATGTAGCTACAATGGGAGAAGGGTATTAAAGGTAGGTGGCAGCTAATCCTATTCCATACTCACTGCCTCTCTGATAGCCTGGCCAAAGAGCAATCGTTCTCGTAGCCACCATTTGGATTCTGCATGCCCGTGTGTATAATGGAGCCCACTGCCACATCCACATCATTAGAGCATAGATATTGGAGCAGCTCCACCACCTCATTGCCCTTCGACCAGAAGTCGTATTTGGTAAAGGAACTGTAGTCGGCAATGCCTATGCGCTCGCGGCAGGCCCGATACTCGGAGGCCACATGATCGAACCAGGGCGGCTTGCCAAAGGTGCGGGTCTGGGCAATGCGAAAGCGGGGCAAACCGAACTCATCTGTGGGGGAAACAGAGAAGTTTTAAGGTTTAAATAAAGAAATTATCGCAACTCTTTCTATTTTTCCTTAAATATTCATACTCCTACTCACCCTGCTTATCCTGCTGATCAAAGTAATTGGGTCTCTCGTAACCCATTGACTGGCCAAAAACGGCGCCCGCCTCCTTCAGCTGCGGATAGATGGGTGACATGCGCAGATTCCTGCCGGTTTGGAACTCCTCAAACGGATAGTTGATCTCAAAATGCTTGCCAGGCGCCTCCTTGCAGCGATCCCTTAGAAACTTGCGATTGTTGTGCAGCCCCAGAAACCGACTAATGTCCAGAATATGCAAATCCAAATACGTAGAACCCTTGGTTATCAAATCGGTGAGCACACGTCCAATGCCACCCGAGGCGGAGACGCCCATTGTCTTGTTGCCGGCGGCCACATAGTAATTCTGAATCTCAGGAGCCTCACCCAGGATCCACTTGCAGTCCGGCGAGAAGACCTGCAGCGAGTTGGTCAACCGATCGAGGGTGGCGCCCCGAAAGGCAGGCACTCGCAGCAGCAGGGCGTCGAGCAGCTCATGGAAGTGATCCCAATCTGGTGGATGCTGCCTGGCCGTTTGCGACAGCGGTATCACGCCATCCTCATACACCATCTTGGCCTCCCGTTCGAAGCCTCCAGCCAGAATGTGACCCTCGCACTCGCGGAAGAAGATGCGTCCATCAAAGTCCCTCACGAATGGCGTATCCGGACTGAGGCCCTCAATGGGTCGCGTGTGCAGGTAATGATGCTCCACCGCCTTCAGGGGCACCTTCACCACCGGCTTGGACAGGGTGCCCACCTCGCGGGCCCAGAAGCCCGTGCAATTCACAAAATAATCACACTCCACATCGCCCGCCGTCGTCTCCACGCCGCGCACCTTGCCATGTTCGCTGTGGATCTTCTTGATGGCACAATGCTCCACGACACGAACGCCCAGGCGCTGGGCCTCGGTGAGATAGGCCTGGCACACCAGCATTGGATCACACACCCCATCCTCGGGTATCCACAGGCCGCCCTCGATGCCATCCAGGGAGAGCAGATCGCAGTGGTCGCGGCACTGTTCCGGCGACAGGATTTCGCAGCGCATGCCCCAGGCCACGGCCTGTGATTTCATGCGGTTGAAGGCCGTCATCCGGTCCCAGCTGCGTGCTAGGTTCAAGCTGCCCACTTGCCGCCATCCCGTGGGCAATCCCTGCTCCGCCAGCCGCTTGATCAGATCGATGGAGTACTCCGCCAGCTTCAGCTCGGTGTAACTGGGCTCGAAGCGTCCGGCCAGGCCGCAGGCCGTCCATGGCAGCTCGCCGCCCACACGATCCTGTTCCACGACCAGCGTCTCGCCGCCCCAGCCGCTCAGGCCCAGGTGATAGGCCACCGAGGCGCCGGTGATGCCGCCGCCGCAGATCACTACGCGGGCCTTGGATGGCAGTTGGCCCGCCAGCTCCTCGCTGAGATCCGGAGCCTGCTGTGGCTTGAATTTGCGCTTCCGGAGCAGCGGCTCATCCGCCGCCGCCGCGGCCGCCGATGCATCCGCCAGGCAACGCACTGGGCCTGCGGGCAGAAGCCATCTCCTAGCTGCTCCGCCACAACGCCGGCCGCCCACATCCAGGAGTTTCATCATCTTGTCCCCCGAGGATCTCCGGACACATAAGCAAGGTAGGAATTAACGTATTTCCGAATCTACGCGTATTTCCTGAGATTTAGAGATGGGGAAACATCGATAATCTCGAAATATCGTTAATCGTTGCCAATTTAGCTATTTTCCGGGTAGATCTGGCGATTGTCAAGGTGTAATCAGCGGCTAGCGGTTTTTATAGCTGTTTTCTAGCCAAAATAAATTACACTGAAAATATTTAGCTTTTAAAACTTACATTAAATTTAAAAACTAAAAAGAGAATTATAAGAAAAGAAAATTATTAAAAAAGGAAAATAATTAAACAAGAAAAGAAAATTATTACAATAAAAAATTATTAAAAAAATAAACCCCTCAAAAACAACCCACAAAATCCATGAAAAACACAACTTTTCTTTTGAAGATTTATTTCCAATAACCACCAAAAACACCCAGTAACTTCTTAGTTTTTCTATTTTTTTCCAGTTTTCTTAATTTTTTTTTTGTTGTGTTTTGTTTTTCTTTGTTTACAATTTCTGTGTGGGTTTAGGGTTTTTATTTGTATTATTTTTTCTTTTAACTGAAGCCCCTCTGCTCGCCTTCTCCAAGAAACGCAATCAGACCGAAGGAAATCATAACAATCGAGAGGGTCCAGGTCCAGTGCCTGTGTTCATATCCTGGATATTACATATACATATATAATAATGCATAGTGCAGGGGGGAGAAGGAGGTGGCTGTTGCTCTCTAACTGTTTTTTTTTCATTACAGCTAAACTAATTTTTACAAGGTCTCCGAATTGTCGTCGTGCTTCTTTAGTTTTGTATTTACTTTATTCATTAAGTAAGCATAATTGCCCCAAAAAAACTTAATCTTAATCCATTACATAATTGCCCTTTGAGGAGGGAGCTTTGTGAACAACAAAAAAAAAATATACATATATATATTTTTAAATATTTCGTTGGGGGAGAGGGGGGAAAACAAGTTCAGATGCGGAATAGAATTTATTGCAATTGAATTTATACGCGCGCTCTCTCTCTCTCTTCATAATCATAATTTAAGGATAATCATAATAGTGTAATATATATAGTATAGTATATAATCATAAGTTCATACGCAGCATTATTTAATATAAGTTAATTTTCTTCGCTCCGCTCCAACTGTTTTAGTTTTGATTCCCATCCATCCATCGTGCGACCTCATTAAACTATAGATTATAACATTACTATGTGGTTTTGTTTTTCTTATACAGCAGGTGGTTCTTCTGCGTAATACGTAGCACATGGCACGTAGTACGTAATCAATAGATACGATATACGTTACGAGAGTTCTAGATACATTTAGATAACGCCCTATTATCTCATTATCCCGGGGTGGTTTTTAGCTCTCTCACAGAACTACAAAAACTAGATCAATGTGGCCCCTAGTGTGGGTTGTTGCTACATCGTCAAGCAATTATCCTGTAACAGTTTTTGCTCTAGCGCTTCATCTCCCTATAAAGACTACAACTTATTTAGATTTTAATAAAAAAAAAAATATGGAATAATTTAAAAAAATAAATAAAAACAAAAAAAATTGACACGTTTGACTAGGTCATACCTGGCAATATACCAGCGAATCAGGGTTTCTAGAGGTTTTTAAAGGGGGGAACAAGTCAAGTTTTTCTCACAGCTTACTTTTGGCGCCCTCTGTTGTCCTTACTCAAGGAGTTTCCTTTTTAAAAAAGTCATTTTTAAAATTACACACAATATTTAAAGTTTAAATTCATGATACAAATTCTTATAAGAACCAGTAATATATCAAATATGATATTTATTCTGGCAAAAAACGTAATTAAAATTGTTTTTAGTTTGTTAAGCCTGGCGTCATCTGCCGGAACTTAAGCCTTATTTTCCCTTATCCTTTTTTTCCCTGCTCTTTTCTTTAGAGCTTTTTCCCCCGGAAAAGTTTCGCTGGAAATTGCCAGGATAAGCCCTGCCTGTGTGTGTGTGTGTGTTGGGTGTGTGTGCCAGAATTGAGGGCTTTTTGACTAAGAGGCTAGGCCTCTATCTAATGTATACATTATACATGCGAATAAATAAATTAGTTTTAGTTCATTTCTTAAGTTTTCTTTTCTTTTTCCTTCTTTCTTTTTTTTTTTTTGGTTAACATTGGGATTGGCACATTATATTACATATCATACAAAGCTTCGCATTCGTTAAGTTTCTCTACTTGTCCTCGTGTTATCCTTTTTGTTTTTCATTACTAACGGAAAGAGCCAACCGAAGACCAGTGTTGGGTAAGGCGAAAGTATTGGGAAGGGTCACTGAACTAGAGCTAAAGCACGCCATCAAAAAAAAAGGGGGGTTTCGTTTCGCTTCGGTTTTTGGGTTGTTCGTTTAAAGTTCGTGTAATAAAATGTAACCGCTTATCACATTCATAGAACTTGATCAATTCTCTAAATACATCATATAGTCGTATGCATAGGTTAAATATAGTACATAATTTGGTACAGTTACCTTGTATGAGTTAACTAAATGTTTTCGTTTCCTTAATAGCACAGTGTATACGCTTCCGTCTTCGATCTTTCTTTCTTTCTTTGTTTTTCTTTTTTTTAGGGCACATTCTTTTAGTTTTAAATTTAAATTCAATTGAAAAAAACGAAAAGTAATCAAAGGTTTTTTTTTAAACATTTTGGAGTACTTTACCGACCTGCTCTCTGACTTTTCTCATTTTAGTTGTTATACTTTTATGTTTTAGTTTGTTTTTATTTTTCTTTTTTTAATTGGTATTTGATTTTCATTTTTTTTATTTTTTGTTTCTTGCAACAACTACAATACATGCAAACAGCAATTTTTTTTGGAGTGCAACATAAACGGTCTGACAATTCGAAACAGAATCTATCTTAAGTTCTTGCTTGTATCGCTTACTTTTTGGTATATATATTCACTAGATCTATGTAAGTATTAGGTTTTTGTTTTGGGTGTGTAGGTTTTTCTCTCTGTGTGTATGTATAACTATTTTTTTGGCTACTTTTTTGAGGTTTGTAAAATATAGAAATTAGGTTTAATTCGATTCTTAGTTATATATATTTTAGAACCCATAAATAAATCATAAATAATTTATATTCGTATCCTTACAGTGTCCTTGTTTTGTCCAGTTGTCAAAGAGAGAGAGTGTGAGTGTGTGTGTGTTTTGCCGGTAGGGGTGTTTCATTGTTTGAATTACACATTTAATACTTGGGTTTTCTTCAGTTTTATAACATTTACTTTATAAACTATTTGCAATGCCTCATTGTTTAATGACCTGTGACTGCTGTGGGAATCTCTGAAGCTTTTCAGCTTCCTCTCTTAGGTTTCAGTTGAGTTTTCTCTGGTTTTTTAGTTTAGTTTTTTTATTTATTTCTTTTTTTTTTGCAAAATAAATGCTCTGGATTTTTGTATCTTTCTCTGGAAAAAAAAAAAGAAAAAAAAAAAACAACATCTCAGGTTAGAGACTACACTAGACTACATATCCCGCTTAAACATTTTGATCTTTTTTCTGATCTTATTTCTGTCTGAGAGTTTTTTGTGGTTACGTTTTGTGGTATCTTTTTTTGGGGGTTTTAGTTACTTTGGAATTACTGGCATTACTCTGGTTAATGTTAGTTTTTATTTCGCTAAGCTATTAGGTGGAGAATCGGAAACTCATGTAAGTAGTTCACTTGAAACGTACGATTTTATGAGAGTGTGTGTGTGTGTGTTTATGTGGGGTGTTGTGTTAGGGAAGTGTGGTGTATGCGCTATATGTAGGGCCAGTTTTTGGTTGAAATATTTCACTTTGAGTCTAAAAAATTAATGAAAATTAAAAATAACCTGATTAGAATTATTTTTTCTTTGTCCCAAAAGTCGGTTATTTACACAGTTTTTGTAATAAACATTAAAAACCAAATTATATTGTCTAAAATTTAATTTAATTTGCTTTTAGTTTATATTAAAATTGAAAATAAATATTTTTAAAAATTTTAAAATTCCTTTTGATATTTTTTATTAATTTTATTTTACCTGGCAACCGTGAAATATTTATTACCAAACTGGCCCTCGCCTTTTATAGTCTTGAAACGCCTTGTTTTTGTGTTCTAAACTTATCGGTGTACCGTTATTCGTGTTTTTAGCACAAAAATACCTATCAAGATTTTGTTTTCGGTATTCTTCATATATTTTTTTTTTTATATTTAATTTTAGTTTTTTTTTTTTTTGTTATTTCAAAATAAATTACAAGGGGGGGATTCGAGAGGGATAAAATATACTCCTTACGAGTTTCGCCTTCGTTTGCATAAAATACCTTAACATCCATTTTTCGCCTTAACTCATCTTTATCGCGATCATCGCGCAGAATCTTAAATAAATATAAAGCACAAAGTGTTGACTTTCCAGTTGGTTTTCTCGACTTCTAGTTGATAAGTTATAGATATATATATAATATAATGTATATATATAAGTAAAGTTAATCCTTTTGAAGATGCGTGTGTGTGAGAAGTGTTTGGGGGGTTTAGCATCTTCAATCTTAAATAAATTCCCAAACATCATTGCTGCCATGATGCCTAGTTTTTATGTTATATATATATTTTTGGTATGTCGCGGTGCTCCTCTGTTTTTTCTATAAGTTTTTGGTTTGATTTCTTGAACCCATCTTAGGCATAAAACTCCGTTTTTCCTTGCGTCTTATAGGCCTCCTCCTCGATTTTGTACATGTCCATAAGCTAGGATTTTTTTTTGTTTGTTTGGTTTTTGAAGCGTTGATGGTGACAGCAGGCGGGCAGCGTGATAAACAAAATACAAAACATAGTTTTTTCGCAAAAGTAAACAAATTTGTTTCGTGTGTGTGTGTAAGTGTGAAATGAAAAGTGTTGGAAAGAGAGAAATAGAGAGAGAAAGAGCGAGAGAAAAGAGAATTTTTAGTTTAGTTTTTCTTGGTTAATTTTCTTTGACAATTTTTTAATTTGTTTTTATTTTTTGTTTAAGGTTAGGGCGGGCGACACAGCAAACGATAAATGACAAGGCGTTATATTTGGGTGGAAGGGGCGTGGCAAATCGGGTGTTAGAAAGAGAGACAGCTACAAAGACAGAGATACATAGAGACAGAGTGAGACAGAGAGAGAGAGAGAGAGAGAGAGAGAGAGAGAGAGAGAGAGAGAGAGAGAGAGGAGGGAGCTAAGTAGTTCGATAGTTGAGCTGCGAGCTTGGATTCTCTAGGTTTAACAGGATTCGAGCCAAGATCTTAACTATATATAGTAGGTATATATAACACATAGTCAGAGGAAGTAGGATACATGGGATACAGAGGCTTAGGGATCAATATCAAAGTGGCAAAAAGGCTGGAGACACAGAGCACACATACAACTTAAGCACAGAAAAGCAAATAAAATCGAAATTAAATATAAACCAAAAAATTAACATGATTCTTGGTGTGGAAATTTATGTTAAAAATATTTAAAAAATATATATATTAATATATATTATTTAATAAATAGAATATTGAATAAATATATATATTATATTTAAATTTATTTTTTATTTAAAATTTATTAAATATATATATTAAAATATAATATTTAATAAATAAATAAATAAAATATTTAATGAATATATAAATTAATAAATATTATTTAAAAAATATTTAATTAAAAAATGAATATTATATATTTAAAAAAATTTATCTATGTTAAATATATATATCTTTTTAATATTTCAAAATAAAATAAATAAAATATTTTATAAATATATTTATTAATATATCATACTTAATAAATATATTTAGTAATATATATTATTTAATAAATATTTAATTATGAATTAAAATAAAATATTTTACAAAATTTATCTAAGTAAAATAATTTTTTAAAAATATTCCACACTAAAAATTAAAGAAAACTAAACAGAGAAGTCCTAGAAAAATGAGAGAGCACATGGTGAGGCATGAAAGTAAATGAACATGTACCAATAAATATATATATATATCAATATATAATACATATATAAGGAAGTAGTAGTAGATAATTACATCTTAGCAGTTAGTGTGAAAGATTAGCAGCTACTTGACTGATCGATTACTTTCAGGTTAGTACGGATGGGTAACGGTTCGGTTAGGTTGGGTTTTCTTTTTCGTTTGTGATTTGGTTATTTGGTTTATCGGTTATTAGTTATCAGTTATTAGTTATTGGTATATTAGTTATATTGGTATATGCATCCCCAGTCGATGGTCCCTCTCTCTCGCTCTCGCTCTCTCACTCTCACTCTCTCTCTTTCTCTCTGTCTGTCACTTTTATATCAATCGTTTGGGAGATGCATTTTTTAGCTTTGAATTTTTTTATATTTTCAGTTTCAGTTGTTGTTTGCTTTCATTTGTGATTTCAGTTATCTGTTATCGTTTATATCGGGGTTTTATCGATTTTATCGTTTACGGTTTTTCGCCCTCTAGCTCTCTATACAGGTGTGGTTGTTGTCTAAAGTACAGTCTCAATACTGGTTATAGTGTCGGTCTGCGGCCGAGTTTCGTTCAGTACCTTTTGCACATCGGTACTGAATTCCTCGATCTGCTTCGAGTGCGCCAGCTTCAGTTTCTCCATGGCGCGTCCCTGCTTAACGCCAATTTGCTGTAAAAAACAATTGGGAATTTAATTAATTAATTTATAAGGACAGACTAGAATCGTTAAAATAAAATAAAAAATATTGTATTGATAAAATATAACCTTTTTAGAAAAATATAAAATTTTTATCATCGGAAAAATATCAATATATCGAGTATTTTCGATATTTTTAATTTTAATGTATATGTATATTTTTTGTACGTTTGTTTTATTCATTTTTTATTTTTTAATTAATAAATACCCTATTTTAATTTATTTCATCGATATTTTTTAATTAAAAACTATCGATAAAATATATCAAAAAATTTATTTTAATTTAAAAATATCGATAAAATATATCAAAATATATATTTTAATCAAAAACTATCAAAAAAATATATCAAAATATATATTAATATTTTTATCAATTTTTGTTCAACAGAGTCTCAAAACACTTACCTTCTTCTCCTCCATGAAGCGCTTCACATTGTTCTGACGCTTCTCGCGCAGCCGCCGATCCTTCTCGTTCTTGGTCTTCAGCGTCTTGTCGTTCTGCACCTCCTTGGCCGTGTCCGCCGAGGTTTTGGCCTGCTTGGCATTCAGATCCTTGACATCCCTGCAGCAAAATAAAACGCAATGTAATTTCGCCCCCACACTACCTGGTGGCTATCCCTCTCACCTGGCATGACGATCCTCCAACTGCTTGATCTGCGCTGCCTGCACGGTCAGCATGAGTGCCTTCATGGCATCCTGCGAGTCCTGGACATGCTGACGGAGCATATCCCACTCCTCCTTGCGATGGCGGGCAATCATATCGGTCCACTGCTTGGTCTGATCATTGATGGCATTCTTGATATTGGCATCATTCCTTATATCATCCTTGCTCTTGCCCTTGATCAGCTTATCGATGGCCGCATTCTGGGTCTTTTGCACCGAGGTGCGCTCCTTGGCATGCTTCTTGCGCAGAGTGTCCAGCTCCTTGATCTGCTTCTTGCCCACCTTCTGGAAGCCCTTCTCCTGGCGCAACGACTCGAGAGTTACAGGCTCAAAAACTAGCGGGGGTTCCTTTTTCTCCTCCTCCTTGGCCTTGCCAGCATCTCGAGCGGCTCCACCGCTTTGCTCTTCAATGCCCAAGGCCTTCATTTGTTCATTTTGCTGCTTTGCAGCACCAGCAAATCCTCGCGGATCCGACAACATGGCCATGAAATCCTCAAAACCATCGGGCACATAGATCTTTAGCTCGATATTCACGAACAGCATTGGCAGGGACATGGGGAAATTGGCCTCGGTACGCAGGGACACATGCCGATAGCCCGCTTGCAGGCCATCCAGCGGCAGGATACGTTGACCAATCATTTTGCCGCTTTCCTCATAAACACCAAATCGTAGAACGGCCAAATCCGGCAGCACCACCTTACGGAACACAAAGGCATCCTCGTTGTACACCGGATTCAGACCATTGTTGGGCACCAGTCGCGTGCGAAACTCCTTTTTGACGGTGTCCGAGGGCAGACCAAACATGTCCACCTCCACATAGGTGCCCACTTTCTTGTCGGACAAAAACTGACCGGCTATCACCTTCACGGAGCATTGGGCGGCAATTACACCGTCTACGGGTGCATCGGCAAATGGATCGAAATCCTTGTCTGCTCGCCGCATAAAGTCCGGCTTTAGGAGGTAGCCACAGCCGCCGTTGTACTCGAATTTACCTTGGTTAAGCTGCATTGGCAGATCGGAGGATTGGAAGTTAAGCGAGACCATTTGGCAGCCGGCATTCCAGAAAACCTGCGGCATGTAGTTGGAGGAGTCGGCCCGTGTGCCCTTTGGATAGATGCGAGACATCTGACGCTTGTTGTAATTGACAAATTCAATGGAGCTCTGTTTTAGGTAATTCATGCCCGCCGATTCCGCAAAGGAGGACATGTTGTGGGCTATGTTTTTCTCTGTTAGAAGGTTAACCCAGAATAATATCTTATAATTTCTTGTGTTTTTGGCAAAGATAATCCTTACCGATTGCCTTGTCAAAGCCCTGAAACTTGATGGGCTGCGCATAATTGACCATGGATGATAGCCACGGATGGACATTGGTGGTGGAGCCACTGTAATTGGCAGCAGCAGCCTCAGCCTCGGCTCCACCACCACCCTCGGCGGCACCTTCGGCGGCTGCCGCTGCCTCGGGTGCTGGCGCTGGAGCAGCCGCTGCCTCTGGCGGTTTGCCAGCACTTGCATCCTCCTCAGGATCATCGTCCGTCTTCAGTTCGCCTTTCAGCCACAACTCAAGCTCCACCTTTTCCACCTCCGGCTTCATGCGTTTGTTCTTGATGAGAATCTTGCGCTTCAGCTTGCAGGGTGGTGGCAAAGGTAGACCAGGATCCAGCTGGGTGGGAGGGTAATGGGTTTATGGAAATATATTTATGGGGAATTTATTCACACTTACCGGATGATCCGAAAGCGGCTCCTTCAGTAGCAGATCACCGAAGAAGTCATCACAGTATTTGGCCAGCTTGTATTGCTGGGCACGGTTGCAGTGGTTCTCAAAGGACAGAATCACTGGATACTCCGAGGATACAAAGGCGCAGTCCGCGATGGCTTGGATGCAGTCCTGTAAAGTAACACAAGTATTAATCGATTTTTTAAGATAATTATTTAAGTTAAATATATATTTATAGATTTATAATGAAAGACCTTTTCTTTTTATTAATAAATTTCCAACTGCCTGAAAGACTAGTAAATCCTGGTAAATTTAGGACAAATTTGCCATGGTTTTTATGCAAAATTATCCAGCAAAATAGGTGCAAATTCCCCTTGTCACTTTAATTTACAGAAAATTAAAAAACAATTACTTAAAAAATTAATTAGTTAAATTAAATTTTTGAAAAATTGACCTGCAAAATAATAAAAATTTCGCTTAAATTAGACTGATTATTTCTCCATTTATTTGTTAATAAAAATAAGTAAAATAATTATATATAATTTATAAATTATATGTAAAATATATATTTCAATAGAAAAACTAATTATAGTTTTTTTTAATTTATGTTCCTTTTTAGCAGTTTAGTGGCATTTTTTATGAAAATAATTAATATTAAAGTTAAGCTTTGAAAATGCCTCAAAATTAATCTCTTTAATTTTTATACTCAATAGATTCCTTTATTCTTTCTTTATAATTTATAGGTAAACAAAACCCACCTTGAACAGAATTTCCGTGCAGTAGGCATGACCGTGGGTAACAATGGGCTCCTCATCCTCTCCCTTGCCATTCCAGCAGTCCAGCTCCACACAGCGACAGCCGGCGAGCAGCGTTTGACGGTACATCTCCACGGAGCTCTTGCCTCCAATCTGACGACCAGACAAGTAGGTGTTATGCGAACTATTGATGTAGTAATGGGCCAGAGGCTGGTCCATTTCCATGTAGAAGTCCAGTCGATCCAGGAATACGGGAGCATTCTCATCGGACATAAGATAGCGCTTGAAGCCGTCCAAAGAGAGTTGAACTAGAGGAATAATATTTGTTATAGTTAAAAATATATGTAATATAATTAATAATTTATGTAGTATAATTAATAAAAAATAAATCGAAATATTTAATTAATAATAAATCCTAGTTTAATCTTTGGAAATTTCTCAAAATAAATCTATTTAATTATAAATATAATTTATTTTTGAGATTAGTTATTTATAACTTAATTAAATTATTATAATTAATTTTTCAGATTACTTTTTTATAACTTACCACTCTTTTTCTTCTCCTCATCCAGCTCGTAGTCATTGATAATCTCCGTGCAGCGCTTCTCCTCGTAAAGTGGATAAAGGATCTCGTTCATGCGAGGATCACGTTGTTTGTCATTCATAAACTGGATGAACTGCTCCAGACTAATGAAATCCTGCTTGCCCTTGGTGCTGTTTTTTAAGGATATTAAAAAATATGTTATAAATATTAATTTTATGTATATTAAATATACAATGTAATATAAATTGTAATTAAATCTTCATTCTACTCACATGGATGTAAACAACTCCTCAATGTCATTGCGTGGACACACCTTGTGATACAAAGCATAAAACTTATCAAAGGTAAACTGCTCCTTGGTCATCGTGGCATTCTTGTCATCCGGCAGGCCAGCATCCTTGATGCAAGTGTAGACCAGCTTTTCCGTTTTGCCAGAGGCAAAGGTCTTGGCCAGCGTTTTAACTGGAATTTTGCCGCTTTTTTCAACGCAGTAACTCAATCGCATCCAACTAGGTTTATATGAGCATCGCAGAGAGAGAAGTATTTTTTCAGGCTTTTAATTTGTTTTCTTTTCTAGGAAGTTCTATAAGGGGGTTTCCCTTGTAAGAGGGGGAGTTTTTGGGGATGTAATGCAATTAAAATGGCAGTGACAAGCAGTAACAACAACAAGCATACTTAATTTGTTGAAATAATTAGTAAAACTCGAACAAAACAAGTCAACATACCTGGTTTATAAGGAGAGAGTGGTTTAAAATAATTCTGTAAAAGCTAAATACCTTAAAAATAGGGATAGTTTAAAGTATAAAGATTACATCTTCATCAGAATATTCATAAATTTGCCTTTTGGCCCAATTTAAATTAAAATAATATCTCTGATAGCCCTGAAAATTGATTGGAAAATAAACACTATTTTCTGGCAGCCACCCCCCTCAGAGTCACATCTTAATGCCTAAGCTGACGGCCGTTTGGTAATCGAATTCAATATTGATTAGCAATCAAGTTCAGGCTGATCCCTTACGCAGATGATTAACGAGCCAAACTCATAACTAATTGAAACGAAAGAGAGCTTACAGCCTGGTCACAATTTGCATGGCCAACTGACCACTGGACACATGGTCTATGGTCTATATCCCGACGGCTTTTAGTACCAATTCCATACACTTTTTGGCCGCTCACGTTCTCCGGGTCAAGTAATTGCAACCCCGCTGTTGAATGACGCATAAATAATGCAATCAGAAACAAATTGCAAACAAGGACGACGAAACATGCAACATGCCCCACCTGTGTGCCACGCCTACATTGCACCTACACTGCTACAATCCTCCTACTTCTATTCCTACTCCTTCTCTTGTTCCCTATTCGGCCAAGGTGTTGCCCTTATCGGTGGTTAACACGGTGGTTCGTTAAATGCACTTTTCCAACTTTTCAACCCGAAAACCCCTCTTAAAGTTAGAACACTTGGAGAAACTTGGAGCACCAAGTAAGGTTTTAAATTTAAAATTAATAAAAAACAATTAAGAAAATTAAATATAATATAAGAAAATATTTAACATAAATTAGTTTTTGAAGATATTTATCTTATTTTGAAATTGAAAATTAAAATTTTTCCTTTACTTTCTTCGTTCCACTCAGAGAAAAGTATCACCAAGTAAGGTTTTAAAATTAATATTAATTAAAAACAATTAAGAAAATTAATAAATCTTAGAAGAAAATATTTAAAATAAATTTGTTTTTAAGAAAACTTAACTCAAATCTTTTTTTTTAATTTTTCTTATACTTTTTTCGTTATTTAATAATATAAATAATATATATATAGAACATTAATATTAATAAAAAAAAATATATATCAAAAACATTAAAAAATCTTAACAAATATTTATAAAAAAAAATCAATTTAAGAAATTCATCAAATCTTATAAGAAACTATTAAAAATATATTTTTATTCAAGGAAATTGAACTTAAATCTTTTTTAATTTTAAATTTTTCGTATACTTTTTTCTTCATATAATTAATATAAATAAAAAAAATATATCAAAAACATTAACAAATATTGATGTTAAAAAAACATTAGGAAATTCAACCGATTTTATAAGAAACTATTAAAAACACATTTGTATTTGTAAAAATGAAACCTTTTTTCATTTTCTTATACTTTCTTTTTTACAGTGTAGTTATCCTCACCCCAGGACCTGGCACACAGTCGACTGGGAATAGAGTTCACCGCAGGCAACGCATATCCAATGAACCACAGTTCAGTTGCCGCCTTTCATCTACCCCAGGGACACGGAGGAGGCAGGAACCTCAGGAACCGTGGTCATCATCAGACACTTTTGGCCTATTGAATGCATTCGTTTCGAGGCAAACTTTTGGACGGTTTAACCCAATTTTCAATGGCCAGGCCTGGAATTTATAACCAACCATTCTAGGGCAACGCCCACACTTGTTAAAAGCGGAAACCCAAAACAAATTCAACTTAAATGTAGGCCAAAAAAAGGGTAGGGTTTTTTGTTGAAAAACAAAATATACATACAAATATAATTTGTTTATAAAAATATTAATTACAAATTGGACTTTGATAAATATTATGTGAATTTTTCTAATAATAATAATAATTGTTTAAGTTTAATTATTATTATTAAAAGTACCAATTGTTAAATAATAATAATAATAAATATTATAATATACTTTTAATAATAATAATTGCTTAAAATTTATTAAGTATTATTAATAGTAGTAATTTTCGAACAATATATATCAAAGTCTAATTTGTAATTTATATTTTCATAAACAAGAAATAAAAATATATTTTTTATTGGCTCATAATTTTGTTGTCCAGAAATTCCCAATTTTAATTCCTTGTTTTGTATTATAAAATTAATATTTTCTCTATTTTCCCAAAAACCTTCTTCTAGCACCTCATTTGGTATTGGTATTTTCACCCCATTCCCGGTGGGAAAAAGAACAGCAGCCCCACCCAGAAAGTCCTTCTCCCAGCCCCCTTTCAAACACTTTTCCTCACGGCGGCCAGAGAATGCAAATAATATGAATTTATTTAGAGCCAAAAAGTGGACCATGGACAACGACTGGCGGGGAATAGAAAGTCGAGTCTTTGGCCCAAGGATCGAATTGCAGCCAGGCTGTGGGGTTCCCGGAATTGCGTAATCGCCAATCAGGAAATTAATAACAGACAAGAATGCGAATAATTGACCCGAAAGACCAAACAGACGATGATGTTGTGGCGAAATGTAAACGGATGGAATTTCAGTTTCAGAAAAGGGAAGTGCAGTAGCAACAATGGTTTCCCAGTAGTCACAACTTGCATTTCGCCGAAGCGAAATATAATATAGTTAAGGTCTTTAATTAAATGATAAGTTTCAGGGGAATTTCATTCATTAATTAAGGAATTAAATTATAGGGGAACTTGGTGGGAATTGAATTTATAATTAAGACTTTAAATAAAGGAGAACTTGGTGGGAATTAAGGCCTTAAATTCGATAAGACCTTGGCAGGATTTGAATGATTAATTAAGGCCTTAAATTAAAGGGGAACTTGGTGCGAATTTTTATTATTTATAAATAATTATTTATTAATTAGAAGTTAAGGCATAAAGTATATACTTACCTTACAATACATAGGGAACTTTGTCTACTTACATCTAAAACCCTTGAAACTTACTTACTTAAAGATGGTATGACACTCTAATTATTAGGTAGAAAAATCGTTTGATATTTTATGATTCTATTTAGGGAGAAATATCTTATGATTTCTTATGATTGAGTTACTAAAATAATTTTAATTACTTTATGAAGAGATTTTTAAAGGTTTTCATTATCTGGCATACATTAAAGTGTTTCTTTTTAATTTATTCTCAGTGTTATACAGGCATAATTCGCTATTTTCGATTTTCTTAAAATAATTGTTAAGGTTTTAATGAATGATAAATTGTAATTTAATATTTTTAAATATATTTTCTAACATCTAGCACTGTTTAGGGGCTCTTTTTCAGGTAATTCCAAAATAAGACCTTAGTGTCATAACTGCATAATGCGCAAATTTGAAAATTTTAAAACTTAAACTGTTTTAATTTTAAAATTCAGCATCAAATTTACATTACTTCCTTAATCTGGCATAATTTTAGTGTGTTTTTTCTCAGCTAAATCCCAATTTTTATCTCAGTGTCATAGCAACATAATAAGTTATTACATTTAAACTACACAAAACTGGCTTCCTGCATCTTTAGACCCAATTAAAGGTGCCTGATTCTTCCTGTGTATATCCCATAAGGGACTAATTTTCGGTTGGGTTCCCCTTTGACAAGGACTCGTACTTACTGCTTCATCAGATTGGTGCGAGGACACACATTCGTGGCCCGATTGTTATGCGTGATTTGACGCAACATCTTTTGCCAGCTCTGTGCGAGCGAGATGGTTATGTACAAGTTAGACAGCGACAGAGATGGAGAGAGAAAAGGCAACAATAACAATAACGCAGTGAAGAAGAACGAGAAGAAACGGCATGCAGAGGCACAGAGAGAAGAGAGAGAACGGAACGTAACGGAACAATCGATGCAATTATGTACACACAGTGTAATCGTGTGAGGTGCAGCAAGTGGAATTAATGCGGCAGAGGGGAAGGGGAAGAGGGAGGGAAAGGAAAAGGGAAAGAGGTAACAAGGGTCTCGGGGCCAGGACACTGGCCACTGGCCACAGGACGCTGGACAAAACGATGAGAGGATGCAAGGAGGACAAGTTGTGACATGAAGGTACGGGTTGGAAACACGCCCACTTACTGTTTCCGCAGACACATCATGGGGCAGATATTGTTCGCTTTGACATTATGCGTTATTTTTCGTATGCCATCTAGCCAGATCTAAAAGTAAAGGGATATATTCGATGGGAGAATCGGTATGTGAGTGTATATGCTCGAGCAATTTCTATTTATTTCAGTGTATCAATGCCTTGGAGTGGACCTTGTTTAAAGTGATAATAATATTAAAAGGTAAAATAATCAAAAAATTAATTATGTTACTTGGAGAATCTGTTTCTTAATTTTCTCAAAATTTTTAGAATTTTTTTATTTCCTTTTTGTCACTCTATGAATACCTGGCGTATGAGTAATATTCAGTATATTGTATAAATATCACTCATACGCAGTGTTGACAAATAAAAATATCTGTTTTTATTTATAAAGGTCCACCCTAGCAGTTCTTAAATTAAGAAATAAATATCGTTTTGTATGTTTATGCAAGGAAATGTATACACTACGCTTAATGAGAGTTTATTGCTCCTCCGATCACTGCTTTCCCCTCAGTCACTCCTTCCGTTATTTTAAAATAATATAATAAAATAAAATAATGTAACCTTGGACTTACCTTGGCTGTTGCCGCATCTGGACAAATAACATGATGATATGTTATATTGATATAGTCCGTGTTCGAACAGATCGTTAGGGATCGTTTATCCAGTTCCGGTATATTGGTTCCGTTCTTTTTGGTCACCTTATCGAGTATCTTTGGATCCTGTAAGAGCAGAATGGTAATTACTATGACTGCAATTTGCAACGGAACGGCATCGGTAGTACCGATTCCAATCCCAGCATCGGGGAACATTAATCTCCCAGTCGCATCATTAATCAAGGCCGGGGAGGAGCGGCAAAATACATTTATCAACATTTGTGCAGCATTGCGCGGAGTCAAGGATATATATGTATATACAGATATTTTCATTCTAGTTTCCCTATTTTTTGTATGTTGGCCTTCGTCAGCAACAATTAAATGCTGTGTACTTTTTCCATTTTAGCCTCTTTATTTTTTGGTTCAGAATTTAAATTTAATTGCAAGTAATTTATTTAGGAACTTAAAACCAGGAAGGATAATAGGAAAAATATTGTAAATTTATTTATTTAAGAGAAAAGAGTAAATAAAAAATGTTTTAAATATTGAATTATGGTAGTGCCATGAAAACACTGCTGCCTAAAATAAGATGCTTTCTGTAAATTGTATATTTAAAGATTCAAAATTGTTTGTATTATTATTATTATTTTATTTAATCATTTATTTATTTATTTAATCATGTATTTATTATTATTTTAATTATTTATATAAATAAAAAAAAAAAACCCTTAAAAAGGATGCCTAAAATAAGATAAATGCTGTATATTTCATATTTATAGATTTAAAACTATTTATTATTATTATTATTTTAAATATTTATAAATGTATTTATGATTGTTATTACAAATATTATAGATTCAAAACCATTTATTTATTATTATTATTTAAATTATTTATTTATTAATTCATTATTAATTTATTTTTATTATTTTTATTATTTTTATAATAATAAAAAATAATAAAAATAATAAAAATAATTAAAATAATAAAAATATTATTATTTTTTGTATGTATAATAAAAATAATAATATTTATATTTTAATTATTTTTATTTGGTTATTTATTCATTTATTTATTTATTATTATTTTATTTTATTTATTTATTTTTATTATTATTTTAATTAATTATTTAAAAAGTTTTTTAAATATTTAATTATTTTTTAAATTATTAAATTATTTTTTTAATTATTTATTTCTTTATTATTATTATTATTTAAAATATTTATTAATTTATTTATTATTATTATTACTTTCGGTGATATTTTCCTAGTATTTTATCGCCTTAAATAACTTAAATGCTCTTTGAAAAGTCCTTCCACTTAAACGTTGAATTTCTTAAAGGAAATTGAATTATGCAGAGACCCCGCCAAGGAGATTTCCTCACCTTGCCAGGATACACACACACACACACACACACACACACTCATACACCACCATCAATAGCTCAATCAGTTCGAGTGCAATTTGCGAGGACAAGGGGTGGCAGGAGCCAGGAGGCAGCAGCAGGAACTGTAGCATACTTTCGAGTGCTAAATAAGTCAGCCTCCCCCCCGTTTGGTCGCTTTGAAGCAGCACAAATAAAGTGAAAGCAAATGTTATACAAGTTTTTGTTCGCCTTATTCTTTCCCTCATTTTATTTCGTTTCATGTTTCTTCCTTTTTATTTGGTCCTGTACTTTGTTTGCCTTCCTCTGGCACTTTTTTTTTTGCCCTGCACAGCTTCCTTGTGCATTATTGAAAAGCGTCAAAAAAAAGAGAGGGAGAAAAACTAAAAGCCAGGAAAAGTCGGTGGAAAGGAAAACTGCAACCAAGCTCAAATTTTTCGTTTTCAATATTTCTTTTCGGGTTTTTATTTATTTTCAGGCAGCTTTTTTTTTCTTTTTTTTTCTGCGGTTTCCCTCTGCCAAACGAAGCAACTTTTAATGGTTCATTGTGCAAGGCTTTTGGGGCATGCGTCCTGGCAGCTCCTTTTTCCTTCAGCTTTAAGTGTGTAAGTGTATGTGTGTGCGGCTCACTGATTTAATATTGATGACCAAACATTTCAAGTGATGGCAAAGCACTCAAGACACACTGAGGTATTCAGGCAGGTTTCAGTTTTTTTTCTTTGATTTTATTTTTATTTCTTTAGTTTTAATTACAATTTATATATTTTTCGTGTTAAAAAATATTTTATATATTAGTTAGTTAAAACTAACTAGCTCCAGCTCCAAGCAGAAATTAAATTAATATTTATTATTGTAAAATAAAATAAAAAAGAATCATCATTCCAAAAATCAATCTGTTCATGAGGAGTTCAGTTCTAATTCACTCCAATGCTATTGCAGGCATCTGAAAAACCTTACTGGCACTTTTATATATTTGAAAACGCTCCAGCCATTATTTGCGAAAACATTCTATGTTTATTTTTTAAATTTTAAATTAAAATAAAAATAAAATATATCATAATTTCAACATAACCCACAAGGTATTTTTAAAAAACTTATTGAAAACGCTCCAGCTATAATATGCGAGAACTTGTTAAAGCAATTGGTTCATAAAAAACATTAATTTTTTTAGTTGTAAAATAAAATAAACACAAAATAAAACATAATCATCGCTCTTCAGGTTTTAACTTTCCAACGACTCCACAGGCAATTTTAAACTAAACTAAATAAATAAAAGAAATAAAATAAATAAAGCACGTAACAAAATTGTCTGAAAAATTTGATGTCAAAGCAATTAATTTCAAAATATATATATATATATTTTTAAGTAGTAAAATAAAATAAAAATAATTAAAACATAATGATCATTCCAACTGAATCAATGCGTTCAGGAGGTACCGTTTTAACCGTAAAAATAAAAACACAAAAAAAAAGAAAGAATGTTAATTAAGAAAACAAAAAGAAGAAAATAAAAGAAAAGCTAGTTAAAAGCCACAGGACCTTCTAGGTCAAAGGCCCACAACCGAATGAATTGTTGAAACTGAGCAGCTATTTATATATACAAGTAAGCTAGTGTGACCAAAATTTGGTGAATTCAAAAATGAAGGAAAATAATGTGACCTAAGGTTACATGTCCAAAAAAAAACCATTTTTATAAAAACAATTATTTAGGGTGTTTCCTGAATTTCTAGTTATTTTGACGATATATATTTAATAGAATAGGGAAACCCTAGAATATGTAATTTTTTCAATAGAGGAAATACCCCAAAAAACCGAGGCCTGATTATGTTTTTTTTTTTTTAGCCAAAGGCCTAAGCTGATACGGCTCTAAACTTTAAGTTGGCTCTTAGTTTCATACTAATTTTGTATAAATAAATAAATATATTTCTTTTTCCAAACTTTTTCCCTAAACTCTTATAGACATTTTCCTTTTGGTCATCCTATTTGTGGTCAACAATTTTGGCATACACAACACTTACACGCACAAGCACTTCTGTATGTGTTCATTATGGGAATTTCCGGCAGCTTTAGCTCTTTGCTGTTTATTTTGCATTTTAATTGAATTTAGAAAGGACAAGAGCTAGTGGAATCACTCGGGAGAGCACAAAAGATGTTAAAGGGTTGAACAAGTTGGTGGGGGGGGGGCCTAAAAGTGACAGAAACTGGTCACGACAGACTCAACGGGTACCCCCTCAGTTGGTTCTCAAGTTGCCAACAAATAAAAGCCAAAAATCATGATTTTTTTTTTCAACAAAAGAGGACTTCTTCGAGTTTTGTTTACAAATAAAAATAAACAAAAAACTATGTTGATTAAATAACAATAAGCTAGAAGTACCTGAGGATTTTCGTAGATATCTTGAAAATGTGATTTGGAAAATTAAAAAAAAAATCAGTTGCCATTTTTAAAGGTAAATAAACAATTAAATATATCGACTTTAAATATTTTCTGCTTCAAATAAATGCAATTTCCTGTCATGTTTTCGTATTTTCCTTTTCCCTTTTCCTGTTTTCAGTTTCAATTTGTACAAATATTTTCTTCTGCTGCATTTGCTTTAAGCCTTTGCTCGGTTTGAACTTAAGCCGCTTCCATGGAAAGCCTGTTCACGATTGAATGGAGGAGGAGGAGGAGAAGGAGGAGGAGGAGCATTACCAGCAGCGACCACACCTGGCTGCCACTTAGTAGTCCTTTCTCCCCATCTCTCCATCTCCTTTTTCAATTTTTCCCCAATCCTTTCTGCATTTTCCCTTAGATGCACCTGTAACCCACATGCAAGCGAGTCAAAGGACTTGCCTGCAGCTAAAAATGAGCCAAATGAGAGGGGAAAAGGACTTTAGATTCAGAACTGAGGATGAAGGATCTCAGCTTCAGTACTGAGCACCTTAAATAATATAAACAAGAGATTTTCTTCACATTAAAAATCAAACAAATTCTGAGAAAAACTACATAAAGTTATAAATATATTTAAAAATTTTACTAGAAAAACCCCTCTTAAAAAATAATTTTGTTGCCTGGAAAACCGACAAATGGGCGGCTCTCTGGCAAAGGATGTGCTGGAATGCAGCAAGAAAAATAACTCTCCCTCACTCCCTGCCAGTTGCCAGTTGGATGCACTCATCCAAGTCTCCGGTTTTCAGCATCAGTTTCACTTTTAGTTTCACTTTCAGGTCCCTGCTGTCCCTTTTGGAAAACTGTGTCAAAGCGAGCTGAGGCCAGGGAAATGGGGAAAAACCAGGGGGAGGACTGTGGATGGCAAATCTAAATTAGTTCAAGTCTTGAAGCAGCACCTGCATTGGCCATAAATATATATGTATATATACAAACATATAGATATATATATATATAGAGGAGATATAGTATGGATGGATTGGTCCAAATGGAGCTTCATTTCGGTCTATTTCTGTTGGCTGTGCTCGGTCATAAATTCCATTTAGGCGACCTCCTCCGACAGACAAACACAAATACATCACTCTATCAGTCCAAGACCCCCGGATATATATATATATATATCCACTCTGTTGCCATATGTTGAAAGCAAAGGAATAAATAAAAGGGGACACAGGACACAGGACTCGGTGACAATAAATCTAGCGCATGGAACAAATGCGTTCCAAAGTCGAAGACGGCGACTTTGATCCACAAAATGGTGTTGGGCTGCAAAACAATTGAGAGCAAAAGTGACATATTGACACATTAACCGACACACACACAGTCACACCCACACTCTCTCCCCAGGACGACAGTTTTATGGCTTTGTGATAGTTCATCCTGCCAGGAAGTGGGGGGAAAAAAAAAGAAACTGCACTCAGTCAAAACTTGGCAGCAGGAAAACTACAAAAAGAAAAACGGAAAAGCCAAGCCAAGGTGTCAGCTAAAAATGCAGACAAATAGAATCAAAAACGATATATATTTCATTTAAATTGATATATATTATATCATCTGTTTCAGTTTGGTTTGCCTTTGGTCTTTATTTTATATTTTGATGTAAAGCTAAGACAATGGTTTTGGTGTTTAAAATGCACAAAAAGCTATGAAATTTATTTAAATAATTATAAGAATTTAATTTAAATAAATAAAAAGTGTAAATGTAACAAAATTAAACTATTTCAGATGAATTCGTAATAAATACGTTTACTTTCTTAATTCTTTAAGCCTTTGCCATTGTTTAATCTTAATAAAACGATTTTTTAATGAAAGGAAATTAAAGAATAATTAGATCATCTTTTAAAAGCCTAAAGAGAAATAATTATATTTTTACTTTTAAAATATTTAAATATTGAAATATTAAAATATACAATTTGAGCAATAAATTATTGAAAACATTTAGTTGAAGAACCAGAATAATCTAAGAATATTAAAAAGCATAAAGAGAATTAATTTAAATTAATTTTAAATTGTAATGTATTTTAATTAATTTTAAATTTTAGTTCATTTTAAATTTTAATTAATTTTAAATTTTAGTTCATTTTAAATTTAAATTAATTTAACATTTTAATTCATTTTAAATTTTAATTAAATTTAAATTGTAATTGATTTTAAATTTTAATTCATTTTAAATTTAATTCAATTAATTTTGAAATATTTAAATATTAAAATATTACATTTTAGCGGCATAAAAAAAATTAAAACATTTTGTTGAAGAACCAACTATTTCCTTAACCTAAAGTATAGATGTTCAGTTCAAATTTTGCAAATATTTAAAGATAATTATTCATTCTCCCCAATTTATAAATAAAATATATGTATATCCACTTACCCTTGGAGTTCCTCCCGCACGAATGTCGCTCACTTGACACAACTCAATGACATCGCCATCCTGCAAGCGGAAAAAGATATATATAATAATATATAATAAAATATAAAATATAACTTAATATATAATATATAATATAAAATATATTTTAATATATAATATAAAATAATATGTTATAATTTATAATATAATAATCAACATGATATAGAGTATATACATATTCTATAAACTTACCCGCCCCTCGCTCTTCCAGTATAGAAAGAAGCCATACTCGTCGACCTTGAAGAGGGCATCGCGCTCAAAATCATTCTCCTTTGTCTCCTTTTCGTTCTCGAACCAGCGATCGAAGACAGCGCCCGTGGTTAGTTCCGGCGGAACCGGAATAATCCAATCGAATTCGTACTTCTTGGTCATTATTGCTCACGGCGTTCGCTGGATGGTGACTGTGGGTTACGAATAATATAATAATAAATAATGGTTTTAAAAAGCGTTTTTTTTTTAATTCCATTTAACCAAAAAAAAAAATATAAAGATATACAAATAATTAATTTTAGTTGCAATTACCTTTGCCGCTTCCGTTTCCGGTGCTGTTTCCGTTTCCGTTGCCGCTGCCGTTGCCGCTTCCGTTTCCGTTATCGTGCACATGCGATATATATCTAGCCCAGATCCAAGTTCTTCTCTCTCTCTCACACACTCTATCTCTCTCTCTTTGCCTCTAACTCTCTCGCTCGCTCTCAGCTTGTGGCCTTCAGTTTTGGGACATGATCAGAATACTGGGTATTACGAGGCTTTTATCAATTTCACATTCGACTCTCTGACGCTGTGTGAACTATATATTTTCTATGTACAATTGCATTTATTGTAGATCACATTGTCCAGCTCGAAGGCTCGAAATAACTTGGCTAATTGAACTTGATTCGATTGCACTTGCCGCACTGCCAGGCAACTGAAGCCTCAGGTTCCTTTTTATCCAAAAAACGAAGCTTTCGACTCGGCTCGGCTGCAATGGGAAATGGAAAATGGAAAATAGAAATGTAGAGATTGGACCATTAGACATGACAGCAGCAACGGGCTTGGTCTTGCAATAATAATTAAGTGGCAAGCCGCAGAACGAAATAAAGACATGAGTCTGCACTTGGCAAAAAAAAGGTATTAGGAAGGTGTTAAATATATGCGTTAATTATTGTGAACTTTAATAGGTAATTTGTTGCTCATTTTAAAGGGTTTATTTTTATTTTTTATATTTAGTATAGGTAATAAATTTATTAATTTTCTTAATTTTAAACCAAATCCATTTTTTAAAAATATACTTTTAATTTTTTGAATGAATTGCTTTTGCTAATTAATCTTGATTTTTTCATTTATTTATACGTTTATTTATAAATTCATGCATTTCTTTTTTATTTGTTTATTTATTTATTTTATTTTACTTTATTCATTTATTTATCTTATTATTATTTTTTATTTTACCTATTAATTAACAAATTTATTTAATTTTTTTGATTTATTTATTTATTTTCAGTTTTTTACTTATTTATTTTATTTTATTTTTTTAGTTACTTTACTGTTTTTACTTTATTCATTTATTTATCTTTTTATTTATTTACTAAGTAATTGATTAATTTATTCCGTTTTTTTATTTATTTTTATTTTTTATAATTTAATTAATTAATTAATTTATTTTTTTATTTATTATTTTATTTGTTTTTTTATTTATTTATTTTTTTTTTTTATGTATTTATTATTTTTCTTTTCTTTTAGTTCTTTTGTTTTTTATTTAATTCATTTAATTTCTAAGATCCTTATTTCTCTCACTGTTTTTGTGGTCAAATCAACAACAATCGAAACTCAAGGAAATGCATTTATCCTGTCCACTGCCTCCTTGATGTCCAATGTCCATCAAGGCTTTGGTTTTATTATTGCAATGGTATTGCATACTATAATTTCCAATTTCCAATTTGTGGCTGAATAATGCCTTGGTGCTTTATTCAATTTAAAAGACCAGCAATTTCCTTCATTTCGAAACAGTTTAAAAGGAATTTATATTTGTTTAAAAATGAATTTAAAATAAGAAATATAATTTTTAAACACATTTAAAATGTTTTATATTTTAAAAAATATAGGAAAATTAATCCTTAATAACTTACAAATGTTTAACATTTACTAAAAATATTCTTAATAATTTATAAAAAATATAAAGAATATATTTAAAGAATTTTTTGCAATCGTTTTGATAATTGGCAGCAAACCAATTTCACCCCATAAAGTTTAACGAGTTTTTTTGGGAAAATTATTTAAAATTGAATTAGCATTCGAATTGGACTAATTTTCCGCACACGCACAAAATTCGCTTTGCCAATTTGCAAACTGAACACTTTATGAGTTTGACACAGTTTTCGAAAAGAAAAAAACCATAAAAAATTTCTAAACAAAACAAAAATCCACTTTAAAGTTGAGCCTTTGACGTTCGGCGCGAATGATGAAACTTTTATCCCGCCAAAGGGGATGTTTTTTATGGAAATTATCGAACCAGGATTTTAACAGGCAACAGGACTAGGAGCAGGAACAGTGTCTCACGGATCCGGCTGATAGCTGACAGACAACAAACTGAACTAACATCAAATCGCCGCAGCCGGAAGCCAAGAAAACATCTAACAAACAAAAAAAAACAACAAAAAAATACCAAAAAATAAAAGAAGGAAGAAGATACACTAATGGAATTAGCGAGTGACGGCATTGCCAGGGCCATGGCCACAGGTTCTCGCTATTTCTTTTCGCTGCGATTCGATTTGGCGGCACTTTGGGGACTTCCCCCATGAAAATCCCCACCCAACCCCCCCACCGAAACCACCTGCGACAGAACATCACCATAACGGCCATGGCCTCGTGCACCTGACTTTGATTCCAATTCGGGGACAAAAACTCAAGTGGCACTGGCACTGCTCTCGCAGCTTGTTGCTTTTTTAAATTCCTTTCTTTTTTTGAGACAAAAATATCAGCAGGACCAGTACTAAGCTAGAAAATTCAAGCAGGCTTTGGAAATAAATATAAAATAATATTACAAAAATATATAAAATAAAATAATATAATGCCTGTGGTTTTAAATTAAAAAATAGTATTATAATAATACATACAAATTTAATATTATTTACATTTAATTTTAATTGACAATTTAATTTTAATTAATTGAATTAGTTTTTTTTTTTTATATACAATTTTTTTTTTTACTTTTCCTGTTTTCCTTGTTTTAAATATAAAAATATTTTTACTTTTTCTTAACTTTTTTTTTGTTTTTATTTATTTATTTAAATTTTTTTTTTAATATAAAAAAATTATTACTTTTTTTAAAATAACTTTCTTTTCCTTTTAATTTTTTTTTTTAATATAAAAATATTTTTATGAGTGTATGCTTTTCTAGAGCCTTAACTTTTGGGTAAAAAAAAATGAATTTATATTTAAAACATAAAAACAAAATTAAAATATGATCGAGATATTGTTTAAAATACTCCAGATTTCACAATTTCATATTATATAGTTTATTTAATATTTCAAAAATCTATATAACATCCTTATACCACAATTAAAACCCCTAATTTTTAACCGTGCATTGTGGCACGCCTCCGTGGCTCCTTTTTGGCGGCTGGACTCGCTTTATTTATACATCTACCGTATATCTACTTTGTGACAGAGTCCTTTGTGTGACATTTATGCGCTTCACACACACATACACAAATTCATTCATTCCCTCACACACACACAGACACATAGCTGACTGATTACTTGACGCTGCTTTTGAGAAAAACCGTGATTTCTTCCGCCTTTCCTCGCTTTTCCTTTATTTTTTTTTCCTTTCGCTGTCATGTTACACATGACTTCAAATTCAATGAGCTGCGAAATTTCGCTCATTGTTAAACTTGGAGAGCTCGTTAGCCAGACACACACAGAGCACACTCTAAAAAAAAAAAAAAAAAAAAAAAAAAAAATGAAGAGAATAAAAATACTTTCACGCCCCGCTCCACGAATGTTTAATGAATTTACGCTCTTTGCGCTTTTGAACTTTCGGGGCTGGCGAATTAGCGAACAAAAGCTCAGTGTCAAGAGCGAAGGACGAAGGAGGAAGGATGCTGGAGCAAGTGGAGCTAGAGCTGGAGGAGGAGCTGATGGAAGGTGCTCGAGGACAAACAAGGACTCGAGCGACAATGCACTTCACTTAAAATGTGATGTGCCTAATAGGGACCAGGATTTAAGGGGGTACATTGTGCCTGTCTTGGGTTTTATCAAATAAATTTAGATATTTTTACATGCAATTTATACATAAATATTTTTGTAAGATAATATTTTACAGAATTACCAAATAAAAAATTATAATTATTTGTAATATATAAATTTGAATGTTTTTAAACACATTTTAAACATAAATATTAAATGCGGATAATATTTTAAAAATAACTACCCACTAAAAAAAATAATTATGATCTTTATTATATAAACATTAATATTTTTAGCGCAATTTACACAACAAAATTAATTGCTGAAAATATTTAAAAGGAAATACCTTCTCAAAAAAATAGAATTATTATAGTTTTTATTTAAATTTAAATATTTTAAAATACAAGTAACACATAAATATCTACTCAAAACAATATTTTACATAAGTCCTTACCAAAAAATTAATTTACACATTATTAAAAAAAAAATTCTCTAATAAAAAATATATTATTAGGTTAATTATATGAATTTGAATATTTTTAAACACAATTTAAACATAAATATTTATATCAGAAAATCTTTCAAGGAACTGGCAAATGAAAAACATAATTATTACCGTTTTTATTTAAGTTTAAATATTTTAAAAAGCAATTTACACATAAATATTTACTCAAAATAATATTTCACATAAGTCACTAACAAAAAATTAATATAAAAAGAATTAAAGTTAATTTTTTTTTTCCAGTAATTTCTAACGATGTTTATTAATATAAAATATTATTTATTTCCCCCAATTAATAGCATTTCCCTGTAACTACAAAATTTTGTATGGAAAACTTTTTAGCCATTTCACAGTTTTAATTGGGGAAAATTCAGTGTTCAATAAAATGTGCTGTCAATAAAATTAAAGTTCAAGGAAGAGCTGCAAGGCTTTGGCTTAGCAGTGATAATTTAGCAAGAGCTCTCCATCTCCATCTCCATCTCCCTCTCCCTCTCTTTCTCCATCTCTCTTTCTCTCTCTGCCAAGTGGCACAACCCAACACTTTCCTGAAATCGAAGCACTTGAATTCATCCTTCCCGCTGCCTTTTTTTTTCTTTTTTTTCCATTGGAGACCATTAAATGCAGAAACGCAGGGAAAAAGAAGGAAAAATCGAGAAGAGGCAAGAAAAACAAGGAAGAAACAACATGAAGGCAAATCAAATGCGTTGCTTTTCCACATATATATAAATATATATATATATATGTATATATTTCTATATATCACCCAGCAAGTGAGTATATGACAACGGTTCCTTTGGTGCCACGCCTCAACACCTGAGCCCCAGTGAATCGAGCGGAAATTCGGTTCAAAGGATCTCCGTCAGAGCAAAGAAAAAAAAAACCTGGAAAATACTTGGGGGCGATATGGAGTAAAAATAACTTGCATAAACTTTCCCTCAAAGGACACTCACTCACTCACACGCGCTCACGTACGCCGAGAAGTGTGCTACAAATATGCTCATTACGTGAGCGCCACACACAGGCACCACCCACCCACCCACTCACACCCCACTTTCTGCCTCTTGCCTCCCTTTCTCACCCCTTTGGTCCTTTCTCCCATTCAGCGACAATTGCTCAATTTATTATTGCATACTTTGCGGCCATAAAACTTGGCTGGCATCGCTCGCTGCCTCTCCCCCCCTACGGACTACGGCTTCTGTTGCATGTCCTTATGAAATATCTGTGCATACACACACACATATGTATGTATATATAGTATATAAAGTACATGGATTGCCCGGCTACAGGTA